TTTTTCGTGTTTCTATTCATTACTTAAGTTAGGATCATCTTTAATTATATCTCTTGATCGTGTGTTTGTTGGTTTCCTTGCATATAGTGAAGCCATCTTAATAGTCTTTACTTTTTTTCTGAATGAAAGCAAGTTCCAAACATCTCAGGGTTGAATTTATCTCTCTCATGTTATGTTAGCTTGTATCTACAAGTTCATCATTGCATTCTCGCTTTTTAGGTAGCCTCCATCACGTGTAAACTATTTTTTAATCGTGTTGCATTATAATATATAAAAACATCGTTGACATTTTATTGGTCATTTGAACAATACTTAAATAATTACTTGATATATTCTCGTAAAAGTAATTAAAATAATGGTTGAAAATTAAGGCCTAATTAAAAACCAAACCCTTAATTTTTAGTAAACATTAATTCAACTCACTCTTAAGTAGGTAATTTGGGCGGTTTGGGCCCGGCCCGAAACACGTTGGGCTAGGCTTCCAAGTAGGATTTGGACAGCTCTGAAACCCAAATCAAAGAGCCAAGACTGGCCTAGAAAAAGCCCAGGCCCGACATGTCAAGCTTCTAGTCCAGGTTTGGGCAGCTCCCAAAAAAGTCTAACTTAATGAACCTGGGTCGTGGCTGTGACGCCCACAATTTAGTCCCACATGGACTAGTGTAAAGAAATATTAGTGGCTTAAATAGAGAAGCCCAAGACCCAAGAACAACTACTGCTAGCATTTTGACGATGGATTTAAGCCAACATCGAGTTGTTTTTTGGTGGTCATGTCTAACTTAAAGTAGTACAAAATAGAATTTAATAAGAATACATTGTATTGTATTTGTAATTTTTAAATAGGTCTGAGAAACATATACCAGAAATCCCCTCAAAATCCTTTCTCTTTGCCCGTGATTTTTGACAACCCAAAATTTTGACATGATGGATACTGTTCAACTACTCACATCCGCATAAACAAACAAAGAATAGGCTCTACAAAATTTTGATCTGATAGGATTTTGTTGAGGGGCTCACTTTTAGGCAAAATCCATTAGAATCCTTGTGGAATCGAAGTAACCAAGCAACCCCTTAGGAAAGAAACTATTTTACTTATTGGAAACATCTATAATCAAAACCAATGTGATTACAGTTTGTAGTTGTTTTAAGGGTAAATTTACAAAAAACTTTAACTTTGGGCATTTTCTGATAACCCTCCTCAACTTTAAAATTTCACAAAATCCTCTTCAGTTTTGCGTTTCTCAGTAAATCCACTACAAGTTTCAACGTTTAAAAAAACCCTAAAAGTATGAACCACAATTTCTCCCGAAAAAATACCCATCATCTATCAAATATCTAACTATTGAACCAAATATATCTAACTATATAACCAAATATTTTACTAAAAAAGAAAAGCTATTGTGAATATATTAAAAAAATTTAGTAAAATTGTGATTAACATAAATACGTAGGGCTTTTTTTACAAAATTTAGCTAGTGAGAGTCAATGGATGCATTTTAGTTTTGAGGTTGTTTCATTAAAATTTTTATAAGATTCCAACATTATTATTTTTCTATTTCAATGAGAATAAAAATTAATCTCACAAAAAATATCTATTTTTCAAATTTATTAAATGATGTTAGAAACATCTGATGTGAATAACTATTTTTAAATTCTCATATTTTTTCTATAAATCTTCGATTTTGAGGGTTTTTTGTTAATTTTTAAAACTTTAGGTTGCTTTATGCAAATTACAAACTATTTATGAGTCACTGTATTATTATTGAGGGTTGAAATTCTCATGGTTTTTCGTGAATTTTTAATATTTAAGGTGTTGTTTACAATTTTTAAAATTTTCAAGATGCTTTATGCAAATTACAAACTACTTATGAGTTTTTTTGATCAAATTGATTTATACTGCTATTAATGCCTTCAGTTCCTAGCAGAGTTCTTATTGCAGAGGCTACACTAGACTCTTTAGGAACCAGCACTTGTTTGCTTATAGTTTATGAGGTGTGTAGTTTTAAGCTTAACAATTCCGTAAAGAATTTCCTACTGTCATTTTGACACATTAATTAAGTTAAGAAGTGGGCGCAAGTAGTAAATATGAAAAACATTGATGAAGGAAAAGAAGAAAAGAAAATTTGCCATTGCTCATAAGTATTGACGTCCTTGTATTTATTACTTTAAAATCACAGAATGTTGGATTGATTTAAATAGTTAAACAAAAATAAATCATCAAGCAAATAAAATATTAAAGTCCTAATCTTGATTCGAATAGAGGGTGCACATACAACAATCAATCACTAAGAAATGAAAAAGAAAAATTTATTAATCTTTGAAGAACCTTTCTATTTATAGTGGGGGAATAATTTTAAGCAATGAGGATGACAACAACAACAATAAAAAGAAAATATAAATTAGTATAAAAAAATAAAAATAATGTAAGACAATAAAGAGACATACTTGTTGAAGAAGACTAAAGTACTATTGAAATTGTGTAGTTCTTGATTTATACATATATGTAAGCATGAGATGTTACATGTGAGAGGATAGTAAATATAAATGGAGTTCTATTTGGATAAAAATTATGTAATTTTCTTTATGTTTAAAATATTGTTTCTTTTAGTAATTCATTTGAAAATCAAAACCTACGTGTGAATAATTCATAATACATGTGCATGATTAATAAATACACCCTACGCAAGCTGCTACTACCAATTTTAAAGTTGGTCATTTGAAATTAATAATATTTGATGATAGAATAATTAAGATTATTTATTTAAATTTTTTTTAAGATTATTTAATTTGTTGATGTGAGCAATTATATACATGTTGAAGAAGACATTAACAAAAGAGAATAATCAAATACACAATATTACTAAAGAAAAATCATAAAGATAAAAAAAAGAACATACATGTTGAAGGAGACGAAGTTACCATGAAAATTGTGTAATTTCTTGGTTTATATATAGGCATGAGATGTTGCATGTGATAGGATAACAATTACAATTAGAGTTCTGTAATTTCTTGGTTTATATATAGGCATGAGATGTTGCATGTGATAGGATAACAATTACAATTAGAGTTCTCTTTGTATAAAGATTACAAATTGTATAGAGATGTTGCATGTGATAGGATAACAATTACAATTAGAGTTCTCTTTGTATAAAGATTACAAATTGTATAGTATTTTATTATAATAACAATAACACAATTCTTATCAACAATTTCATATGCGCAAAGTCTATGCCTCATACGAATTGATAGCCTTTTAGTAGTTCATTTAAACAATTTGAAGTTTGTGTCATAGTTTAAACTTTAAAGAAAGAGAGGAGGCATAATTAGGATAGATATTTAATTCAAACTTTAAAAAAATAGAGGAGACATAATGTGTACGGATTAGGATTAGGATATTTAGCTCAAACTAAATAATTAGGATAGCCTTTTAGTAGTTTATTTAAACTTTATTAAAAGTGTCAGTAAGATAAGTAGTCCTTAATCGTATTGAAGATTATCTGGCTTCTACAAATTAAGTATCATTATAAAAATATTATTAGATTAAGTATTTAATTAGGTATCAGAGCTATGTCAACTGTGAGCCGCGATTCAAGTGTGCGAGCGATTTATTTTCTTTTTTATAATTAAATGTAATTTAAAAATTAGAATTTGATTAGGATTAGGATAGTTCAAACTTTAAATTTATTTGATTAGGATTAGAACAAATCATTAAATACAATTTAAAAATTAGAATTTGATTAGTATTAGGATAGTTCAAACTTTAATTATATGGGTATTTTTGTTTTCTGAAAGATTTTCCCAAACTCGTGCTTTTAAAGGGAGTATGAAGTATGATATTAGATCGGTGTGCCCAATAAATGTAAGATCAAGAGTTGTGTTAGAGCTTCTTCTTTCTTCTTCTTTCTTTTTTCATTCTTTGGATCATAGGTACCAAACCTCCGGAGGTGGCTAAGGGGACATCCGTAACACACGGCTTCGGATATTCTAAGAAATTAAATTCTTGTGGGTGCTCATTAGGAGCGTCTGAGGCTAAGATATTCGAGTCCTACTTATAGACGAACCTAAGACGTTGGAGTTGTGTAAGTACTTCAGATATCGAAAAAATTAAGAACTACAATAAACAGACTCGACTCTATGAGTAAGACAAAGTTCTTCACTCTTAACTCTACTTAATTGCCTTACAAAAATATTTGGAAAAAAAATCCTTATTCGGTAAAATACTTGAGAACTTAAAAGTTCTCTAAAAATATTATTAGATGTTACGTACGTAAGGAATATTAATAACAAACATTCATTTGAGTCTAATTTATATTTTTGATGATTCGTGTGGGTTTAAATAAATTATAATCGAGTTCGAGAATCAAAAGAACAAATTCAACATAAAATGAGCCATCGACGACTTCTCCCGCTCATCGATGACTTACGTCACTGATTTCAAAATTTTCACATCCAACGAGCTCAGCCATTCGGTGCAACCGAGATGCCCCTTCTCTCCTCTCATTTCACAGAGTTGCTGCTGACCTAATTGACAGAGAAAGTGAGGGAGGCAAAGAGAGAAAAGCTAGGGCTTGGAGTTTGAAATCTTCCCGAGCCTTTTTTCCGATCACTCCCCACGGTCATCTTCTTCACCATTCGGCCTACGTACAACATCGAGGAGTGTCGTCCTAGGACTGATTCTAGATATATAGGATAATTGTCGATGTAGAATGATGTAGAGATTCTCAAGAATTTCGGATTTAGGATCACTCAAATATGTGCAGTATATATGTTCAGTTTATATATGTTATGAGTGCTGTTAATGTTGGTAAGACCTCTTTTTCTGGTGCCATATGCCTTTGTGGCCCATTGTGCATGTACATGTGCATGTGTGAGCTCAGTATTGTTTTCATCAAGAAATGTTCTTCGTGTATTAATTGTTTTTGAAGAAAGTTGTCCTGTAATTATTAACATGTTTGTAGCATTTTCAGCAGCAAATAGATCACATAAGAGCATCTTTTGTTCTGCAGTTTCATCATGCATGCAGAATTTTTCTCTGGAATTTTATTTTTCTATATATGCTACAGTAGTTTTTTTATTAGTCTCTCTTGAACATTCTTTTTGGCGGCATTAATTTCTTTCTTTCTCTTTTTTCCTCAAATTTGATGAA